CATAACATGCATTGTTGATGATAGCAGTTAGCTAACTAGCTTTCCTCCATTTATTCACGTTCATTCTAATTAAAACCTTTGCTTTTATTGAAACACTCGACTCATTATTAAGACCAAGCTAAACCCATTGTATGTTTTAATTGTGGGTTATAATCAACGTGTGGGAAGTAGCTTTAAAATATGATAACATCTTTCCTTTAGAATTATTTTATTTATTTTATTTTAACACATAGGTACAGGGAGGCACCAAGTACATATGCGTCACACGAATCAAATTTGATTTGTGTGAGGGCTGTGATACTGCACGGGTGCCCAAACCGAAGCAGGTGGTTTCCTTAGGGGGCCACACCCCGAGCCTTTGACCTGAACGTCTGATCCACAAGGCAGTGGAGCATCGTAAGGAGATGCAGTCCCATGGTAGCCGGTGACCAACGATTGGTTCATACGACATTTGTTTATTCAGGATACTGGAGCCCATGTGCACCATTGGTTTGGGATCCGGTTAAAGCGCCGAACATTCGCTTTTCGTCCTCTCATTTTTGTAAACAACACCCCCGCCACGAGAAGGCAGTGAGTAGGACTTCCGTGGCAGAGGCTATATACGCGTGGCCATGTGAGAACATTTCGAGAGGGAGAGTGGACTCTCCCCACTCTCGGCCGTACCAGGGCATTTGGGGGCCCTTTAGAATTAACTTATTTCTAGACTAGACCCTTTAATGCTCTGGTAACTCGGACAGTGGGAAGAGTCTGCCATTACCACTTGAAATACTCCTATAAAGTCATATATTTATAGCCTCTCCAATTAACTCTTCACTATCTTTTCTCAGAAGGGTATTTTTACAAAAGTAAGAGGATCGAAAGTAAATACCTAGCGCCTAAATTGGAATACTGTGATTTCAAACCAATAGTGTACATGGCCTCCAAAATCTTGAGGGAATGAGTAGCGTATGAACCTATGTTTGATCGCCGGCTACCATGGGACTACTTTTCCTGATTCTGATCTGCCATTTTGAGGGCTAGATTTGTTAGTTAAAGACTCAGGAAGTGACTCTTTAAGAAAATCTTTTGCTTCAGTCCCGCCATCTGAACAGTATCCCAGAATAATACACAGGTAGTCGTAAATAAGTTCATAAGTACTACTGTGGTTTGACTTGATAATTTTGAATAAATTGAGCACTGGGTAGATTGTTAGTAATCAATATAATGATATATAATTTTTAGATCTCAATCATTAGAAATTCTCATTTCTAATGTTTCGTAACTTAATGTAGGTCACTTATTCAGAGAATAAATAAATGACCATATGTTATTCTCTTTACTTCTCACACTAGTAACAAACACGAGACATTTCACTAATATCACACTTTTTCACATTCACTAAAATATAAACAGGTGTATATATCTCAATAAAAATCATCTTTGACTGGAATGATATGTTATTAATATGACCAAACTTATTTTGATGGGGCTAAAATTATTCTGCTTTGCTTCCTTTGTATCCTTTAAACTTCTATTAATTCAGTTTGAATGTTTAATGATTCTCTAATGAAGCAAGGAGATGTCAGAAAATCAATTTGTTATTATTGAATGTAAGTAGGGTTAATTTATAAAAAGAAGCTAAGCAGTGGGTTAGTAAATGGTGATTCTTATTACTGAGTGGTGACTAGTGTCATGTTTATCTACTCATTTAGTACTGTATTAAATCCTTGCAGTGTAACCACTAGTCTAAATGATTTGATATTGTGTGCACTACATTGAGGACATTAGTTTGTTAGAGGTAAACCTTAGTGACGTGTGCCAACAACCATGGAGGATCCTTTCTCACTCTGATTTAATCTCATTGTTCACAATACAGAGTTTAATGTTTGACTTATGGATGCAAATCAATTTCTTTTAGTGAGGATCCGATTTTTTCCCCTTAATTTTAGTGAATTGAGTAAAGTATATACATAATTTTGGTGACATAATCATTTTCATAGATGCATTTTGTTATTCAAGGTCTTCAAAATACTGACTGATTGTAGTAAAATCAATGTAATCCGTGAGTAATTTACAACATCTGGGCAAAAACAAAAGTGAACAAATAAAGTTGCAAACTTCTATTGTCTGACAATCAACAGTAAAGTATAATACTAATTGGATGTTTTTTTTAAAAAAACCTTTTTGCATAATCAACTAACACGATTTCAATCACAAATATGTATAACTCCGATGTTTGTTAGGAATTAAAGAATAATATTCATATAAACATGTGACTTGAATTTGGAGTATATCAAGAGTTTTCAGTTTAGATGGTTATCACATTTAAACCTCGGTAAATTGTACGATAGGACACGATTCGTTTTTTTTTTTTAATTTTTCTACTTGTTGCTTATATCTTATAGAATCAACTACTTTAGGTAATCCATATTTGGAATACCTTTTATTCAGTTTTAAATAGAACGGTAATATAAACTAAATTCCAAATAATAGGCAGATATTTAATAATTCATGTCCTATAATCCTATTCATTAGTAATAAAACTATAATCGACTTGGAAAGAACTAGTAATCTGGATGATGTTGACCTGTCATATAGATGACATTCAAATTATAGTAAAATTAATCTATCCTGTAACTCTACATATGACATTATATGATAGATTTATTTTGAAACGTTTCAAATTCGACATGAATCCAGCTTCCTTGTTTCTTAACGTTCATCATCAGAATATATCTCTAATCTTGTAGAAACTGATGACCCCCAAATGCCCCAGTACAGTCGAGAGTGGTTAGAATTACCTCTCCTCTTCGAAATGCTCTCAAATGGCCACTCGTATTTAGCTACTGTCAAGGAAGTCCTACTGATTGCATTCTCTAGGCGATGGTGTTGTTTACGGAATTGAGAGGACGAAATGCTAATGTTCGGCACTTTAGCCGAGTTAGTGGATATGAAGAATCCACCCAGGGCAGTTGGAACACCCTGTTTCCAAACTGATCATGCGCATGGGCTGCAGGATCCTGAAGGAACAAAAGGCGTATAAACCTTTTGTTAATCACTGGCTACCATGGTACTGTGTCTCGTAACGTTGCTCCACTGTCTTATGCATTAGATTTCTAGGTCAAAGGTTCGGAGTGTGGCTCCCTACGAAAACCACCTTCTTCGGTTTGGACATTTGATAAATACAGATGGAACGAATTGAGCGAAGAAATTTCTTTTCAATTAGTTTTTCATCATGGCTCTACACTAATATATATATATATATATATATATATATATATATATATATATATATATATATATATATATATATATATATATATATATATGATTTACAATAATGATATTATACTCATTGAGTGGATACGTTACGTAGTAATTATATAATGACATTTAAATTAACATCGAATAGTTCGGAAAAAAGATGATTATTAATATTCAAAGTAATTATTAAATCAAGAAGTTGCTATTTTCATAATAAATGAAAAGAGAAGGAATAAAATTTGTAATGGATGGTCAATAGAATAGTAGTTACGTAAGAATCAAGAGATGAATGTTGAGAAATTATAAAGTTTAAAAAAAAAATTACAAAACCCAAATGTGAGAAGTATGGAAAATAGTTCTGTTGAAGGGAATGTTATACCGATGGCCAAGGCAGCGAAAGTGGTTGAACAAATTTCTTTTGAATGCAAAGGTCAGGTTTGTGAACATGGATTGCGATGGCTTCCGCAATGTGCAAAAGGCGCACTCGTAAACCATGTGGTAAATTTGATGGGATACGGTAGATAACCTTAAAAGCTTTATTCAATTCAACTTGGTGACCTGTGTCAACCAAATGAGCGAGAGTAGAACTTTTAATCACTTTTACCCGTCCTTTATTTAGCCACGACGGATGATATTCTGTAATACGGTGACGAACTTGCCGAATTGTACGCCCTATATAACTGGCTCCACAGGAGCAGTTGAACTGATAGATACACATAGATTTGGCGAATTCAGGCAGTCTGTCTTTACTGGTCGTTCTTATTTTGGGGTAGTTGTAGAAGATAGTATTCAGTTTGGCTGCATTAAATGTTTTTTGTACAGCTCTTCTTAGTTTCTGAGTCACGATCTCTTCAGTAGTATCATTTATGTATTGTAATTTTATGAATAATACTTTCCTAGAGACTGTAGGTATCTTCGCCTTTGGTTTCATCTATAAATCAAATAAAAAATTTTCAATAATTTTAACACTACACCATGATGTCAGATAAGTCATAGTCTCTCCCCCTACATCGCATGTAGAAGTTTTTTTAAAAAAGTATATACTTGACATTATTGTAAAGAGTTTGTGTATATTTTTTATTTCATAGTTTGGATAATATAATGTGCTCACTGATGGCTAATTTCCGTCGGTAATTCTGGCGGCTCTAATGAGAAGTCTTTATAAGTAGAGTCCAAGTATTTCTAGTGTTATGGAGTTACCCACTAATAATAGTATTGGGAGACGACTATTCAATATTTTCAACTGACTTAGTGGTTTAAAGCTTGAGCACTCAATTCTAGACCGAAATATCCTGGCATTGACTCCCAGTGGGTTCATATATGAACGCTTTTAAGTCACATGCTAGGACCAAACGACTGTCCAGTACTTCCTAATTCCCAATCGTTATCTAACTAACGTCAGTTCGTGATGTAAGCCATAATATTAATGTCACCGAGAAATCTTAGATTTAATTACGAAACCTGATAATAAGTTGTAAATTATGATTGAGATTTGTCGACTCGTTTTCTAGTTGCATAAGTAAACACATAGTGATCCATAGAGAACAACGTATAGTTTAAGTTCTTTAACGGTACATACTCACTACTATATAGGATTTTCTAGCTTATATCAATTCATAGTATAAATTCTACCTTCATCGTATGTTTCACAAACCGTCGATTTTTCAATACTCCATTGGACTGCACGACTAACATAACCAGTTTTTGTGACAATATGAAGAGTACTAATTTTTCTTCTGCAACACTTGTCTTCACAGGTGATTTCGACACAGAAGACGATGATATCATCTTATCGGAAGATCCAATCTATTCGACAGATCCTATTATGAATGTAAATTTGAAAGTGAGTGAGATTTTACTTCTAAATATATTGGCATTGTTTATTTACATGTCATGAATATGAGAAAACGTTTATTTTATCAACAATCCGAAACATGTATAGTTTATAGTTAATTGCTATGTAGGTATTGTTATCAACAATAATCAGCTGTATAACCTTGAACTTGGCGTACACACTGTGTTCACCTGTTGATATATATATATATATATATATATATATATATACTGCTAATCAACCAGTGTAGCATAAGCCTCTGTATCAATTCGCCTCAACATATGCAAGGGAAAAAGCAAGATCCTCAAATACAACACGGAAAACACCAACCCAATCACACTTAATGGGGAAACTCTGGAAGCGATGAGATCTTTCACGTTCCTGGACAGCATCATCGATGAACAAGGAGGATCTGGTGCAAACGTAAAGGCGAGGATTGGCAGAACAAGTTCCGCATCCCCATAATTGGAGAACATATGGGGCTCAAAACAACTGTCAACCAATATCAAAGTCACAATCTTCAACACAAATGTCAAGACAGTGAGTTCTGTTGTACAAAGCTGAAATTTCGAGAACTACCATTATCAAAAAGGTACAAGTATTTGTAAACAATTATCTACGCAAAATACTCATTGTCCATTGGCCGGATACCATCGGTAACAACCTACTGGGAGAGAGAACAAACGAACTTCCAGTTGAAGAGGAAATTGTGAAAAGACGATGAGAGCGGATTGGACACACATTGAGATCACCAAACTGCATCACGAGGCAAGCAGTAACTTGAAATCGTGAAAGTTCACGGAAAAGAGGAAGGTCTAAGTACACACTGCGTTGGGAATTGGGAACAGAAATGAAAACGATGAATAACAACTGGAAAGGATTGCCCAGAATATAGTCTGATGGAGAATGCTAGCGGGAGGCCTATACTCCTCCGCGAGGGGTATCACGCGTAACTTAATAAGTAGGATGAAAGTTTATCTACCTTGTAAAATCTTGCATTTTATAAATTTAAACTTTTAGCTTACTAATTTATGTATACGTAATTGATGATTGAAATTGAGTCATAATAGAGCCTAGAAGTAAGCGACCTCTGATTTATCAACTCAACAACCTATAGTTGAAACTAGTCTATTTATTACTGTTCGAATTTGATCAGTTTCATTACAATTAGTACTCGGTTATGTACTGTGTAATTTCAGATACCTAGGTCATTACATACATCTGTTCTTACATTATTATTCAGTTCTCATTAAATTGACAGCAAAAAACACATTTGTATTCGTCACATATTGGTCCCAATCTATTATTATTAACTTATCAGCCAGGTACAGTTCCGTATACTTGGCTTTGAACCAAGTGCTACTACCACCGGGTTTCGCAAACTTAAATAGGTACAGTAAGGTTCAAACTTGCTACTTAGTGGCTGAAAAATGGACGACATCGTCACCAAACCACCAGGTACCCCTTGATAGTTGTTTCTTTCTAGTACAGGACTCCGTATAGGTGCACACTCAGAACCTTTAAGTCTCGAGGTGAATAAAAAAACCATTGCAAAACGTTTATTGACATCGAATGGTGCAAGCCCAACTCCAATCAATTTATGGTATGACGCGAGGATTTAATTTCGAATCGAACAATTCGATCTCAACCTAATAGTCTCAATGTATAAACGTTCCTCTCAACACCTGAACATTCTGGGTTTAATCCCTGATAGGGTTTTAATTGTACAACCATTGAGAAGATCCATATTAGGGTGAAGCACTGATGCTATGTTCACTAATTTTCAATAGTACTCTAAATGAGATCAGTCTGTGATACTCTTATAACTTGTTCCCTATGTCTTATTAACGTATAATGCAATGATACCGCTAATTAAAGAACAGTGAATTATCGACCAGACCAATGACACATACAATCCGCACGAGCAGTCTAGATTCCTTATTAGTCCTGCTTCCTACCTGTTAAGTCCAAAACATCAATCTCAGCCTCTGCAATATGAATCATTTATTTCAAACATACTGGGTTTATATACAAACCAAACAGACCATATCGTACCATAAAATAGAAAATAACATTTGTACAAGATTTAGCCAAAAGTGGCTATGAATATGGGAGATAGTAATAATTGATGGACAGGGCATAACTCACAAATGGTAAATGGTATAATAATAGTTCATAGGTCAAAATAAAGCTTATAATAAGAGGGACACGAACATGAACGGTTTACTTATTTAACAATTATACGACAAAAAATATACGTATAGTATTGATCCGGAAATAGATCCCAACAGTTACCATTCATTATTCTCATTAGGATATAACAGATACTAACAAGAGATTACAGCAAAAACAACAACAACAAAACCCCAACCTTGATTAAACCATTTCAATAATACTGTTGTATTTATATAGAACTTGGTATATTTACTTCTTTTTCTTCTTTTCTTGTATTTTTTTTCATGAGAGTTAATCAATAAAAGTTCCGCTTAATAGAAAAAAAAAATTATTATTATTATTATTATTGAAATTTAATCGCATTTCTATAAATTTGTTCATAATTGTTTTATCTAGAAAAAAAATTTTTTTTTTATTTTATTGATTTTTTAGAAAATTATTATTGTTGTTGTCCATATTAAAATGTTGATAGTTTGTTTTATATATTTAATCTTAATGAACTTATTAAGTGTAGAATATGTTAGATTATAGCTTGAATCTTTGTTTAATATATTCATTATAGTTAAAATTACTTAACAATCAATTCGAAAATGTATATAAGATTCAGCCCCCAAATGCCGTGGTACGGTTGAGAGTGGGGAGAACCAGCCCCCTCTCCTCGAAATACTCTCATATAACTATGCGTATTTAGCTACTGTCAAAGAAGTCCTATTGATTGTCTTCTCGAGGAGAGGGTGTTGTTTATGACATTGAGAGGATGAAAAGAGAATGTTCGACATTTTAATCGATTTGTTGAGTATGAAGGTGATAAGTCTTCTAATTGAACGCTAGATTTTGGTTCTTAAGCTTTTCTAGTAAGTAACCCCCAGGCTAAATATACACAGCGATTTGAATATGAGAGAAAAGATACGAAATATGTAAGAAATATTTTACTCTAAAGGTTCGTTTATGTACAGAAAATCTAGGGTTTTTTATAGTATTTTAGATATCCTTGGGTTTCATAAAAATTCTGGAATGATACCAAACTTAGTAGCAGTATAGTAATCATCCAATTAGAAACTCGACATTTCACTTTCTAAATGTTTCTGGCAAAGCTTCTAGTGAACACTGATGCTTCTCAGAGTTTTCAGAGCCTTTCATGGTTTTTTTAAAGGAGTTTTCTGGATCTGCTCAACATAAGGATCCACCTAAGGGAGTTAGGAAACCCTGATTACAAACCAACGGTGAACATGAGCTCCAGGATCCTGACCAGAGCAAAAGGCATATGAATCCTTTGTTGGTCACCGGCTACTATGATACTGCATCTTCTTACGTTGCTCCACTGCCTTGCGGATCAAACCTTTAGATCAAACGTTCGGGGTGTGTGGCCTTTTAAGAAAACCATCTGCTTCGTTCTGAGAACCCGTGCAGTATCCCAGCCCTCACACAAATCGAATGATTTATGTTGCGTATATCTATTTGGTGCCTCCTTGTACCAATGTTTATGTGTTGAAATAAATAAAATAAAAGACCTAGCTTATCTATTTTATTTATGAATTTGTAGATACTCACACAATCTTTTAATCTCTGTGTGTCTTGTCAATGTCTTTTATTTTGAGTACTTCGATATTATTGTTAGTTCGTATACATACGTACACAAGGCATAATATAACATTGGTACGTTCTACCTCCACTGCAACATGTGTGGTTGGGGGGATTTATATCATTCAAACTTAAACGTTTGACATAATGTTAAAAAGTCACATATGTTATATGTTACCAAATCTTAAGTAAGAGATGAATTTATGGACAGGCTTTTCTGATTAAGCGAATTTAACTTGCTAAGCTTATTTTAATATGTCCCTACCTGGATCACTATGGTAAATTGTGGATAAATAATGAGTTGTATATATTACAATTTCTACTTTATGAAATAGGACTCTCCGGATATTCATAGTCTCTTTATACTCTCGATGACTTATTGGGAAAGTGTTTATTATTATCAGACCAGACCATAAAATACAGTATACTCAATGATGAATTTTTCAACCTATATATGATTTCCGAGGTACATCAACTTTGATAGTAACTATAGCTCTTCGTCATATTAAAGAGATCACTACGTCTAGAACTCCTGGAATTCCGGGATGACCTGTATAACATTTAGATTAGTCAGTGACTTTCTTTTAACTGTCAATAAATCAGAACAAAAACAGTTCAAATATAGTAGCGGTACCATATAAACACAAAGATACCGTATAAAATGTACAAAACACTTAGATTTTCTGATCCATTCAGTCCAACTCGTACTTCAGAAACTTGATACAATCAAAACTGCAAGTTATCAAATAAACAAAACGTTAAGAATCACAGAACTAATTACTTGTCCAAGAGAAAAAGAAACTCTACTGATAAACTAGAAACATAATTCTATCGTCAAATGATAGATCAATTCAATCAGCCTAAGCAGTAACAATCAAGCACAAAATGAATCAATATTACAGCCGCTAAAATATATGGTTGAATTAAAAAAAATTAATGCAGTCAGTAAAATGTCATATAATGGAAGTGTAATACATTGAGAAAATTGAAATGGGACATAGAAATTAATAATAATAATCTTGGCGAGGCTATAATTTATGGATGAACCAATCAGTTATAAGATAACAGGTCTCGGATTTTGGCACGAGATTCACTCATCCATTTGGTTAAATAGAGTTTTAACAGTATAGCTGATGTCAGTTCGTGGTGAAAATCCTAAATCTTATTTCTAACCCTAACCATCATCATCAAGGTCACTTGGGCGTTGCTCAAAGGTCGTCCATAAATTATAGTTTCACCATAATCTTATCTAGAACCAAGAATAAATAGCGTACACAGAAATAATACGATCAAGTGCAAAGCAAAATATGATTGTTACCTAGATTATATACATCAAGTATTCTATGAGAATCTGTGCTTGAATTTGTTAAGTTCTTACTATAAAAGTACAGTGATAATTTGAAATCAAGCATCATTTTTAAGTGAATATTAATGATGCCCAAATTATTGACGTTTGAATTTCACTATTCAAATATCAATAATATCACTAATTCTTAAAAATGATCTACTTTCTTTCTCTCTTTTTCTTTTTCGTCAAAAAAAAAAAACAAAGGAATTTCTATGTAATTTCCTATCTGATTTATCTCAACAAATTTATTATAATGAATTCAGTCGATATCATACATCATTGGAGTTGACAACACTTCAACGAATTGGTATTTTACCTCAGAACAATGAATAAATAGAAGAGACAGATACTGTGTGTGTGTGTGAAGATGAAACGGGGAGATAAAAAAAAGTGTTTTCAGAAACAACTATTTTTTAATGCTTTTTCTTTAAAAATAAAAATAAAAACTATTCGAATAATTGATGAATTCCTTGATTTGTTTATGATCAATTGTTGTTTCTATAATACAATATGAATTTGTTGTTCATCAATCAATCGTTGTTTATTGAATTATTGTAAGTCATTGTTTATGTTTAATAAGAATAGTTAATGTATAAAAATTAAAATAGGCTTATCATAGCTTATTTATTTAAAGTGATTTTCTTTAAACCCCTATATCATAAATATTATGCTATGTTTCAAGCGATTACGAGTTCACCTAATCTGCGAACGGAACAAAAACTCTTTGACTAAAGACCAATAAGCTAGTTGTTCTGATGTGTCCCAGCTTCGCTAACTAGAGAGAGAAGTCCAAGTTCCGCAAGCAGCCAGAAGCACCAGCGATAACAACAGACACAAATCAAACGTATATATATACAGCACAAAACTGTCCTTGGGAAGCGTTACAAAATAACGTACTAAAAGATACAATCGATCAATAGTGTTAAGATTCGATATGAAGGTGAAATGAGTGCTTTTGGTGCGAAAACAAAGAAATTCAAATTTTCAAAATAAAATAATAAAAATGAAGTATTGACCGAGTTCTGGGAATCTCACATCCCCAACATGTTATAATATGGAGGGGAATAAGTCATTTAAATAGTTGAGAAAGAAAAGAGTTTAAAGTATTTGGGTGATATTTCATCACTTAGAGAGTAGCAGTTCTGACAAAGTTTAAAATCATACGTATAAATATACATAAAATGCTATTTAGGCTGTATATAACACATAGTTTAACCGTATTCGTAAATCGTGACACCTGAACCTTACCCCATAATCTTAACACTAAATGTTCAACCCTAACCAAGAATAATGTTAGAGGCTGCTAAAAATTTACATTATTTCCTTATAAATTTATAGAGGATAGATAATCTATACCCAACTGAATTCATTTCTGTCATTATTTACAATTTACAAATAGAATAACCTATTGAAAAAGTCAGTGGATTTATTTGTTGCTTGCATTATTACATTATACTTGTATTTTCTGGAAATTGTTCATTTACTAAAGCTTTATTTCTAATTTTATCAGAACTTTTCTAGTTGGAATAGTTACCAATTGTCAATAGTGTCTCTGTAACTCTTATTTTTAATAGTTATCACTTTTCTCCGTTACTAAATTGATAATTAGTCCTTTTCCCTATCCCTAATACTTATTATTTTCGTATTAAAAAAAAAAAGAAATCCAAAATGAGCTTATGAATCGGTTGATACAAATGATGTTATCAGTATTTACCTCAATTCTTGAAGTCATGAAACCTAGATTTAGAGATTACTCATCTTCTATGGTATGTTTATCCTACAGAAAAACTCGGCTTGATGTCAGACTTTATAAACAATATTGTTCTTGTCATAAATATAACGAGTTTAATTCTTTTTTTTTTCAATTCTCTTTCCTCATTCAATAGGATCATTTAGTTTGCACTACTTACGTCTCACGCCTGTTTAGATAGTTGATGTTAATAATAGATAGTATTCGTAGAAAAGAGTAAAAAAATATATTCTACTGTCAGTATGGTTTATTTCTGTTTAGTTAATCACAGCATTAATTTCAATAAAATGTCTTATGTTCAATTGTTTATACTAATCAGTTAAATGAAGGTCAAATTTCTATCGAATTACAGTTATAAAATGTCGATAATCCTCTGTAATGTATTTTAGGTCATTGAAGTATTTATAAGACTTTGAAGATATAAGGGTTACTGAACTACTATGTTTTTTTTTCAACTTTTTTATTGTCGAAATAATCGATTATTCACAAATAATTGTGAACTGTTTAGAAGGTTCTATATTAACTGTTATAAAATATGGTTGACTTCCTCTACTCTATTCTATTACGAATTAGATGGCAGCGTCTACACAAAATGTTCTACATATGGTTGTAGAATAGGAGATATCATTCGATATTATAAGATAAAGCCTAATCATCTGATACTTTTATATACAAACATATTGATAACTGATAAAACTATATAATGGAGACAGTTTGTATGGTCGTTTGTTTACGGTTTTAGTTTGTTTTGTTTTTTTTTTCTTTTCTACGTTTTATTTTACATTTATTGATTCTTTTTATCATTATCTTATAATGATATTGTCGCCTTTAATTCAATAAATTGAAATATTTACCAATTTCATTCAGCCATTAGATTATTAATAAATTGTTTCCTCTTTTTAATTATTATCTCTAATCTCTTCTTACCTCCGTCGTATTATTGTTGAAACTATCTAATGATTTATTGGTTAATTATAATTATTATTCTTGAATCTAAATTGTACTTCAAAAACTTCCCTCAATTAGACTAGACATATGCATATTAATAGGGGAAAAAAAAAGTTTTTTTTTTCCTCACATTAATTCATATGAATAATTCATGATTACTACTTTTGAAAATAAAATTATAGAAAGAGAAGAAGAAAAAAAAAGAGATAAAATACATGTCTGGGAATTTTTTTTAGTTTGTTTGTTTAGTTTATTCATTTTTCAATATTCAATAAGTGTGCAATATCAAGTATTGTCAGATAGTGTTTCTGTATAGTTAGAATTTTCATTGAGGATTTCATTTCATACTTTCACTTTGTTTATTCTCTTTAGCTGATCAGTTGAAATACGTTGAATTGGTGTATATTCATGAAGAAAAAGATATATGTAGATAGCTTTAAGTAGTTGAAAATGAAGTCTCTAGTGAAAATCATACTTTCATTTGATTAATGAATGAAAAGAAAATTCCCAGAAATGCTTGATCCTAAATACTTATTTGAACATTATCTTCATACAAATATTTATTCTATATTGTAGTTTTTTATTGAGATCATGAATTGATATTGATGTTAGACCACCATTAATAGCCTGGAAGCATTGAACAGTCGTTTCATCCTAGTAGGACTAGTCAATTGATGAGTCTTAGATTATGAAAAACATTCAAATCATATCTTTTCACTGACTTTCATAATTATAATTAATTACAAAAAATGAAGGTTATCATATTGATGAATCTAGTCGAACGTGGTATAGGATGGAGTGTGTGTGCATACCTTGACGTTGTGGTCGACCTTGCCTATGGTGACGAACCACTCGAGCTATATTGGCTGGAACAGTCGTTCTTCAAAGGTCCTACCATGCCAGACAGATCGTTTGAAGAGTGGTAAGACTAAAATCAGCAAACCCAATGTCTGAGGGTGAAGTCGTATTGCTGACTATACAGAGGTGTGACAACAGTAAAGTGTTTCCTTCAGACAACTAGCATAACAGCGATGCTGAGGTTAGAAAAGGTCGACGCTATAAATGCACACCTTGCCTTATTCCACAGATATCCATCTCTGGCGGTAAGGTCTCAACAAGTACGTAGCTAACAGGAAGATTACACACTAAAAGGTCATGTGTGACCAACCTCGAGCAGTTGTCTCTTAGGCATTGCGGTTACGCTCTCGGGTCTTTCAGACCACCTTTAATTCAATTTCCATTTCAGATACCTCCAGAAGAACCCTTTCGTAGTGTTGGCAACCAGAAAGTGATAACCGCCCCTACACCTCTAACAGCAGTGTATGTATATATTAATGTATGATCTACTCTCATATAATTTTTTACTGTTCATTAGATTGTACATGATAATAGATAATACTAATTTTTTGTTTTTGTCACATTTTATAACTTTTCTCAAATCTATGCTGATAACTTCTTTATAATTAAATTGACTTTAAGTCATTTAAAAATGACATTTCTATGATTAGCTGTTTTAAAAGATAAAAACAAAAAAAAAACAAACAATTAAATGTTAAATAAACAAAAAGAAAAATGATAAGTATCATATAAAATATGTTTCACTGATCTCTAATAAAACAATATTGATCATCTATTAAATAAAAATCAAATAAACCAATCATAGATATATTAGATAAGATAAAAATGAAGAGAGAGAAGAATCTATAAAAAAGGTATATTTAGTAAAAATCAACCTGTTATGTTATTTGTTTGTTTGTTTGTTCTAATCATAAATTGTAAAATAATTGAGGAAATTAGATATAAATTAGATTTATATGAGTTACAGACTGACATAATCTCTAATGGTATACTGTAAATTGATAGATAGTGGCTAGTAGTGGAATCCAGTTTGACGCGCATTTCGTTCTATTTGAGACTCATCAGCTAGATGTACCTGAATCTCAGGATTGATGTTCACTCCGGGTTCCAAATAGGACGAAACGCGCGTCAAACTAGATTCCATTGCTAGCCACTGTCCATCTTCACGTAAAAAGCTTGTGACTTTAGGCTATATCGAGACAATCCTCACACGATGCATATATGCCAACATGAGACTGATCGATTGCAGTCCTAAATAACAATGGGAAGATACACGTGAATTTAAAGTGTAAATTGAGTTATAGATTACGATTGCTATTAGAATCGTACATTTAGAGCAAAGTTTGTTCACTATCCTAGTTTGTTTTTTTACATTGCTTTACCATAGATGTACTTTTGGGACACTATACTCCCCTTATCTGAATTTTCATGTGCTGGGGATGTTGAATCCCGAGAACTCACTTGGTAAATGCTTTATTTTTGTAATTCTGTTTTAGAAATTTGGATTTTTTTTTTCGCATCAAAAGCGTCCATTTTTACTTTCATATTGTATTTTCCACTTGAGAAGAACTTAAATGCTATTGGTTCGTTATCTCTTTTAGTATGTTATTTTGTACCGTTTTTTATGCCGTATACATACGCTTGATTTGTGCTTGTTGTTCATGCTTCTGGCTGCTTGTGGAATATATTTCCTTCTTCCGAACTTGGACTTCTCTCTCTAGTTAGCTGGGCTGAGACGCGTCAGAATAGCTAGCTTATCTGTCATTGTTTCATAGAGTCTTCGTTCCGTTCTCAGATTAGGTGAAATCGTAATCATGGGATTTTTTTTACCAGGACATTCACTTATCGACTCCCAATATCCAGACAATATAATTCTATTTAGTAAAGACTTTGACCAATTGAAGTCTTCTTATCATTTTGATTAACAATTAAAACATGTTTGGAATGAGTTTTTCTCCCTCTGTATTCAGAATT